CCCTTGCTGACCCTAAATTGTGATTACATTCACCTTGGATGCTTATTTCCCATTTCTTTATAAGATTTGAGACTCCTTGAGTCTTATAAATGTCTCCATGGTACAGTTTTTAAATTCTTCTTTTCAAAAATTACGTTGGTGATTTTCATTTTAGGCCTTCCGGTTATTTCAAGGGATTTCTCATTTAGATTGAGCTGCTTCTACCTATCTTGTGTTTCAATAACATGTGTATATGTCTGTCTTCAGCTGATCCTCTTGAAAGGATACAGTTTCCAATAACAACATTTGTACTTTGAAGTAAAATAGTTCTTTTCCAAATTTTTGAGCAGTCAAAAGGTTAACTGGGCATGGGTGGTACTTTCTGGAAGTGCATATTACCCAAAAAAGGTCAGTATTTGTCACTGTGGCATTAGTTCATTATATTCTAAGAGGGTGGGCAGTACAGATAAGTCTGGAGAATGGATGTTTGTAGTTCATTTTATGTAATTTTATCTATTAGACAGCTAGACTAATCTCTGTTGCAGTGTTTCTCATCCATCGTAAACAATAAATTATGATAAACTCCCTTTTGAGAGACCATAAGAAATCTTATCCTACCAGAGAGATGTTTGGTAACCCTTCTAAACCAGGCATGCTTCTCCCATCACCCTCCCCCATCTCCCCATCCCCCGGTTGCCTTTTACAGATCTTCAGTGGCCAAGATTTTGTTTGGTTTTACTTAGTATACCTAAACAATGAGATGTGTTTTCCTCTTCCATTTGATAAATATAAAATTATGACATTGAGTACACATTTCCAAACTGCACATACTTTTCAGCCCCTAGTTGAGAATCACTGCTTTGTTGAAAGGTATGGGGAGATTGCAATGAAAAGTAGATAATAGTATGAAACAAAGTCCTTTATGATCAGACAAGGTGTTTTTGAAATGGGCCAGGAGAAGGAGACCTGTAAAATAAAAACAGGAGAGTTGAGACTCTGTAGATTCCTTAAAAAACAAAAACAAACCAAGAAGAGCTATAGTAAAGGTGATAAATCTGCAGAAGAACATCGGTTTATCCTTACTTCATGGAGGAGGAATAGTTGGAGGTGAAATGAAAGGCTATTGTATAAAGTATTTGTCTAGCATTAACTGACTTGTTATATGGAGATTATAGATAGGTAGCCTTGGATTCTAACTTAGTAGCATGTTCCATTTCTCCCCAACTCCTACCCACCCCACCAAGGTTTCTGTCATTAGTTTAAAATTAGAGTAAGTGATCGGGCGCCTGGGTGGCTCAGTCGGTTAAGCGGCCGACTTTGGCTCAGGTCATGATCTCGCGGCCTGTGAGTTCAAGCCCTGCGTCAGGCTCTGTGCTGACCGCTCAGAGCCTGGAGCCTGTTTCAGATTCTGTGTCTCCCTCTGTCTCTCTCTGACCCTCCCCCATTCATGCTCTGTCTCTCTCTGTCTCAAAAATAAATAAATGTTAAAAAATTAAAATTATAGTAAGTGATTAAGTGCAATCATCAAACTCTTGTCTTTCCTTTTGAGCATATACATATGTTTCTGTTTGGGGCAGTGATAGGCCAGGACCAGCTTTTCATTCTCGCTATGAAAAAAGGCTGATATGATTTCTTTATCTAGGCAGTTGTTTTACTGAGGGATATCTAAGTGCTTCGTGTATTTGAATGCTTAACATCTACTTATTGTTACTACCAGGATTTCAACCATAGAAAGAGAATTCATGTGATACATGAGCTTGGTAGAATAGACCAGATGTGGATATAGCCAGGATGACCCATGAAGTAGGAATAGATGGAGGGGTGAAGAAAATTAGAGGTATGTTGGGAGAAGGTTTCATCTTTTGAGAGTCAAGGACAACTTAAACATGGGAGTTAGAAAAGAAGCAGGAGACTAGGATTAAAAACATACATACAAGATGAATTAGGTCAGTAGAGGTGAGTTGATGTGACGGGACTGAGAAGTGGTGAAACTTGGTGGTGTGGCATTAAGTCACTGGTGATGCTTTTATTTTTGATTTTTTTAATGTTTATTTTTATTTTATTTACTTATTTTTAGTGTTCTGTTTATTTTTGAGAGAGAGAGCTCACAAACTAAGGGAGGGGCAGAGGGAGAGGGGGACAGAGAATCCAAAGTGGGCTTTGCACTGATAGCAGCAAGCCCAGTGTAGAGCTGGAACTCACAAACCATGAGTTCACTTTGGCTCATGACCTGAGCCAAAGTTGGTCGCTTAACTGACTAAGCCACCCAGGTGCCCCCTTTTTAAATTTTTTTAAAGTTCATTTATTTTGAGAGAGAGAGCATGAGCAGGGGGAGGGGCAGAGAGAGAGGAAGAGAGAGAGACCCAGGCAGGCTCCATGCTGTCAGTGCAGAGCCCGACACAGGACTCAATGTCACAAACTATGAGATGTTGACCCGAGCTAAAATCAAGAGTCAGGCGCTTAACCATATGAGCCACCCAGGCGCCCCACTGGTGATGTTTTTAAACTATTGGGCCCAGACTGAACGAGGGGAAGAAGAAATTTGGCTCAAAAATTGGGGATGGGGATAAATGACAAATGCACTGATTGACCTTTGAAAACTTATACTTGAGTTGTATGAGGGTAAGGAAATATTTCAGAAACTGTTAGCCTGCGTTTTTCCCATGAAAAAGGTGAGATTTCTGTCTGTGATTGAACTGCTGTGGAGGAAAGGAAGAGCATTTGGAGGAATAAATAGTAAGGAGTACTCCCTCTGCCCCAGTAAGGAGTACTGGAAAGGACAAAATTGCCCATGGAAGAAGAGGCAGTTTATAAACTTCTAAGTAGTGGAAACTTGTGTTATAGTTTTTATATGACACCTAACTGTTAGATTTTTTTTTAGTGCAACATCTGTGACAGTGAATAGGAGATGAAAGCTAGCAGCAAAGTAGGGCATAACTAGAAAAAAGCTGATGTAGTTAAAACTATTGAGTAGATTTTTATTAAATCAAGAAATATGTATAACTTTTCTGATTGTCATTTTGAGCAACTTTGGGACAGGCATTAAATAGGAGAGGCTGGAGTGAGTTGGTGGAATAGTTTAGCCAAAAGTAGGAAGTGATATGAATCCTGGGGGAGATGTGAAGGGTATACAATTACTGAAGCAAGGGTGATCTTGTTTAACATTGGTGGAGATGCCCTGTGTACACTATGATCAGTCTATTCTCTTTGTATCTGGGTTTCGGGGATATTTACCCACATTATATTGTTTTATAACAATAACTGGAATAAGTTGAGGGGAAAAATAGTTTGTGGGTTGTGTGGAAAATTCTTTAGTAAAGTCTACGTACTGTGCCACTGACAAGTTTCTTCTCTGGTGTCTTTTAAAAGTTAAGACCGAAGGTCTTATCAAGCAAGGCTTTCCTGAATTGTCAAGTGTTGACATCATATACAAAGAACAAAGGCCAGTTTTTCATGCATTTTAGCTATATGGTTGATGTACTTACAATACCTTGCTTTAGTTGTAACCTATTCTAACATTTTTATGAACTTAAATCCTCAGACTTGGATTTAGTAAACATGCTTTCAGTTATTTGTAGGACAGTTTTTCAAGACGGGAAACTACTGTCTCCTCTTAGAATAGGGAGTACTATAGAATTTTTGTAAGGACTGAATGGTTCATTCCATATACTGCAAGCAAATATATTAATTCGTTAACTATTTTTTTGAGTAGCTACCATGTATGTGATATCCTCCTGGTTCTTTCGGGATCTGCAGATAAATAAGATGTGGTTCCTACCATCCGGGAACTTTTTGTCTCTTGGGGAAAGAGCAGCTGGGCTACCATGCAGGATTGTGCAGGGTGTGCATTGCACATATTCATTATCATCATTGATAACATGTTTAGTATGACAATTTCCAGCAGATGGCAGACAAGCATCTTAAGGAGCAGGCAGCTTTTTATAATTTGCACAAAGGAACATTTGGGCCTTCGGAGGATATGGGCAAGAGACTGGTCATTTTAGTTAACTATTAAATATAAGTGCTTTAAATCAGGTGTGAATAACACTGGTGGGTATTTAAGGAAGGTGGGAGGACCAAGTCATCACAGATTGCTTTGTGGTTAAAGGGGCAGAGGTTCAGGGTTCTTTTAGAGTAGAAGGAAGATCTTTGAAGGTGGGAAAGATTTCAGATGGGAGAGATGCTTGGGAGTGGGGGTGGGGTGTTCTAGGCAGAAGCTACAGCATAATAGGCAAAGTCATGCAGATAGGAATCACATTAGGGGAACTGTGTAGTCTAGTTGGCCTGGAATGTAGGGTGTATATAGGAAACGATGAGAGAGAAAGTTGGGAATATAAGTGGAACTAAAATGTACAATTCTTTGAGTTTTTTGCCAAAGAAGTTTTTGATCTTAAATATGAGAAAGGGGGGAAGGGACTTGAGAACAGAAATAGTATGCATAGATTGATATGTTAATTAGCACAAAGTTTGGGAAACTTCCTGGGTAAAATTACACTATAAGTGTAGCAAGATTATACTGTGAGCTTTAGTTAAAAGCGGTTATTTTTGCCAGTAGTAAGTAAAAGCATATAAAATACAAGGGAAATTTATGAAATACAATATATTCAGAAACCTTTATCTACATTCAGAAGCTTTTATCTACATTCATTGAAATGTTGCTGGTATCTTGTAAAGCTCTGTCAACTTAACCTCAAATAGAAGGCGAATGAATGTTAAATTTCCTGATCTCTACCCAAGAATGATAATTATAAAGAAATGGACACAGACAGCAAAGCTCTTGACAGACAGAAACTTCAGAGTGTAGGTGTAAGCCCAAAAAGGGGGTTTTATTTCTTTTATAGATTTAGTTTGAAGCAAAAATGTGGGTGTTCTCTCTGCCATGTCTTTGTCCTCAGGTTACCTCACGTTTCCCTCTTTTCTTGTTCTGATGCCAGTTGATATAAAGGGTAGTACCTAAGAAGGAGATATTTTCTTTGAGGGCGCCAACTTTGCTTATTTTTCATTTGTCTTCCTCACAACAGGAGTTTCACCATCTTCCTCTGAAGACCTAGCCACCTTGCTCCATGAAGGTCAGGACAATCTGACATGCACTTGTTTCTTGCCTCTTTTTACCTGAAGAGTAGTCCTCTTCCATTGTGTACATTTTTTTCTTAATAGGGGAGGGGAGGGGAGAGCCAGTACCCCCCCTCCCCTTCCCTCCCTAGACCTTGGGGAAGTACCCTCCATTGCTTTCCCAAGATGGCAGACCCCATCATGGATCTGTTTGATGACCCAAATTTATTTGGCCTGGACTCTCTGACTGATGACAGCTTCAACCAGGTCACACAAGACCCCATTGAGGAAGCCCTTGGACTGCCAAGCTCTCTGGACTCCTTGGATCAGATGAACCAGGAAGGTGGAGGTGGTGATGTGGGGAATTCATCAGCAAGTGACCTGGTCCCCCCACCAGATGAGACAGCCCCCACAGAACTTCCCAAAGAATCAACAGCTCCAGCTCCAGAATCTTTAACTTTGCATGATTATACCACTCAGCCCGTCAGCCAGGAGCAGCCAGCCCAACCTGTATTACAGACACCGACGCCAACATCAGGACTTTTGCAGGTCTCCAAGAGCCAGGAGATCCTGAGCCAAGGGAATCCTTTCATGGGTGTCTCTGCCACAGCTGTCTCTTCCAGTAGTGCTGGAGGGCAACCACCTCAGTCAGCCCCTAAGATTGTTATCCTTAAGGCCCCACCAAGCTCCTCAGTCACTGGTGCCCATGTGGCACAAATTCAGGCCCAAGGTATCACCAGCACAGCTCAGCCCCTGGTGGCTGGCACAGCCAATGGTGGAAAAGTTACTTTTACCAAAGTGCTAACCGGCACTCCCCTTCGACCAGGTGTTTCCATTGTCTCTGGTAATACAGTGTTGGCCGCCAAGGTCCCTGGGAACCAGGCTACTGTTCAGCGCATTGTCCAGCCCAGCCGACCAGTAAAGCAGCTGGTCCTACAGCCAGTTAAGGGTTCAGCTCCTGCTGGAAACCCTGGGGCCACAGGGCCCCCACTGAAGCCTGCAGTTACACTGACCTCTACACCTACCCAGGTGACTTGAGTGAAAGGGGGAGGTGAATTTTGGTTTAGTAGAGGGCCCAGCAACTGTGTGAGAAGAGAGCACATGAGACCAATCTCTAGAAAATCCTGTTTAAATTCTACCTTTGCTTTCTTTTTTTTTTAAAGTAAATGTTGACAACCCCGTATTTACTACTTACTAGATGAAAGCAGTTAATGTTAACATTTTTTGAGCTCTTATTACATGTTTACACTGTGCCTAGCTGGTGCTGAACAAGACAGACACAGTCCCTGTCCTTACAGAGCTCACGGTCTGCCAGGAAGGCAGACATTAAACAAGAATTCATAGTACTGTATAATATAAAGTTTTATGAGAAATATTGGATGCTGTGGGAACAGTTATTATTTATTTATATTTACAAGACTTACAGAAGCTATGTATATGTTTTCCCTGTTCTTACTGAGATTGTCCTTTATCCAGTGAAAAGGCTTGTTTCTATTGTAAGAAAGTAGAGGTTCTAGCTTCTGAATAAAGGGCCAGATGAGTTTGTGGGGGAGGGGGTAGTATTAAGATAAGTAGGATCAGAGGAAAGAAGGTATGAGGAGGCTGGTTATAAAGACTTCGGTTCTAACAGACTGCCAAAAAATGGAATGACTACCTTAGAAGATAGCCTTCTGTGAGGAGTTTGTCAAAAATAGGGCCTGACACCCACTGGGCAGAGGTGATAGAAGACTCAGTCAGGACAGCTAGGAGGATGGACAAAATAAAATGTACTCTGTCTTCTGACTCAGTTTTTATGGTTCTAGGATGAGGAAAATTGGTGTAAATATTTAAGAGTATACCATTCTTTAATGTCGTGCCTCTCTTGCAATTTCCTTTCTTCACTCTAGGGTGAATCGAAACGCATCACCCTGGTCCTCCAGCAGCCACAGTCTGGAGGTCCCCAAGGACACCGGCATGTCGTTCTAGGGAGTCTACCAGGCAAGATAGTGTTACAGGGCAACCAGCTGGCAGCCCTGACTCAAGCCAAGAATGCTCAGGGGCAGCCCGCCAAAGTAGTAACTATCCAGCTGCAGGTGCAACAGCCACAGCAGAAAATCCAGATCGTACCACAGCCTCCATCATCGCAGCCTCAGCCACCGCCACCACCCTCCACCCAGCCAGTGACACTCTCCTCTGTGCAGCAGGCTCAGATAATGGGGCCGGGACAGAGCCCAGGGCAAAGACTTTCAGTACCGCTCAAGGTGGTGCTGCAGCCACAGGTGAGACTTCCACAGGGAGCAGGGAGGACCAACCAAGGGAGGACAGCCCCTTGCTGTCACCCTCCACAACCACTCATTGTTGAATGTGGGGTCACTCTAGAGTCACGCCTCTGAACTGAAATGCAGTCTTTTATTCCTTTTACCAGTGGAAATTTTCTTTTAATTATGTCATGAAAAGATTTGAGGTTATTGTTGGGTTCGGGTTAAGAGATGATTTGTCTAATATAAGTCTTTGAACTGTTTTATTTACAATCTTTTCCTACTATTGTGGAGTAAAAATGAATGGCAATATTCTTTCATTTAAAAGTTGTTTTAAAGAGGCCAGGTGATTGTCACTCCTCCCTCCCTCACCTCTCCCACCTCCCCCACCTCCAGAAAGGTAAAGGTAGGCCAAGAGTAGAATTTGAATTTTTTTACTTTTGGTCTAGTGATTAGTATTGGTTATATTGTTGGAAAATTTTCTAGAATAATGGAGATGGGTATTGACATTAGAAGCATGTCTAAAGGATATTGAAGTTTGGCATAATTCTTGCCTTTTCTCATCTCTTTCCCACCAAAAAACACCTTTGTTTGTTTGTTTGTTTGTTTGTTTAAATGTGTCTAGGTTCAGTCAGACTTGGTCTGAATCTGGTTCTTGAGGAATTAGAGATCAAAAGTTTCTAGCCTATCTGCTTTAGAGCTGGATTTTATTTAGGCCATGTAGCTACAAGCATGTTGAAATTTTAGTGTCTTTATTTCTGTAGGCTGGTTCTTCCCAAGGGGCCTCTTCTGGGCTGTCCGTAGTTAAAGTTCTAAGTGCCAGTGAAGTGGCAGCTCTGTCTTCACCAGCAAGCTCTGCTCCTCATACGGGGGGCAAGATAGGAATGGAGGAAAACCGCAGGCTGGAGCACCAGAAGAAGCAAGAGAAGGCAAATCGGATTGTAGCAGAGGCTATTGCTAGGGCCCGTGCCCGGGGTGAGCAGAACATACCTCGAGTCCTAAATGAGGATGAGTTGCCCAGTGTTCGGCCTGAGGAAGAAGGTGAAAAGAAACGCAGGAAGAAGAGCAGTGGGGAGAGGCTCAAGGAAGAAAAGCCAAAGAAGAGCAAAACATCGGGTACCTCCAAAACTAAGGGCAAGAGTAAGCTGAAGTGAGTACAACCCTCTGCTTTTTTGTTGGGGCCTTTGAGAGCAGTGTACTTGTTTTTAAATGAAAATTAAGGTTTATGTTTATTATTGTTTATTTATTTTTGAAAGAGAGAGCGCAAGCTGGAGAGGGACAGAGAGAGAGGGAGACACAGAATCCGCAGTAGGCTCCAGGCTCTGAGCTGTCAGCACAGAGCCTGATGTGGGGCTCGAACCCATGAACCGCGAGATCATGACCTGAGCCGAAGTGGGACACTTAACCTACTGAGCCACCCAGGCACCCCCAGCGCACTTGTTTTTAAATTAGTTGCTAGAGCATGTGACTCTTGATCTCGGGGTTATAAGTTTGAACCCCCGCATTGGGTGTAGAGATTACATTAAAGAAATCTTTAAAATAAACAAATAAGTAACTAAGTAAGTAAGTAAGTTACTGTTGAGAGGAACTACTTGTATTTAGCAGCTACATAGTTCAAGGTAATCTGTTTGTCATAGAGGATAATAAGGCCTTTCTTTTCTCTGTCCCAGTGCTTTTATGATTTGTTAAACAGAAATTTGCAAATTAGCGTATTTTGAAAGAGAAACACCAAGGCACAGGAAAGATAGCCAACTATTGTGTTGGGAGTTATGTTAAAAGTTGACTATGTTTGTATATGTCTTCCTGATGTTATATCGCTGTGGTGTGAGATTTCTCACTATCCCCCCTACCACCCACATCAGTAAAAGAGCTGCTGGAGATGTAGCTGCCCTGTTCTTGCATCTCATCTGTGAACTAGAGAAGATTTCAGCAACGAGTGTCAGCCTGAAGCAGTGTTGTCAGAACCAGGGCTTGTCACGTTTGAGCGTCCCCTCTTTCTCATCCATGTCTTGTAGCCTCATTCCTTTCTCCCTAACTTCTACCCCTGGGAGTCTTCAGGCTTTGTGGTGGAATTACAATAATGCTTTATATTTGCAGAAGATTTTTCAGCTTTTAAGAAAAAATTCATGTGTCCTATCTTAGTTCATCCTCAACGACTGTCAACCAGGTATTCTCATCAGTGTTTATTGTATAAATAAGGAAGCTAATGCCCAGCTAGTGACAGAACTGAAACTAAAAGTGAGGCCTTGCAGTTCTTGGCCCAGTATTTTTTCCACTGTCTTAGCCACCTTTCTTCAGGTATTTGTGAGTACAGTAGTAGCAAGGATTTGTCACATCTGATGTAAAGGTCAGCCCGTGGCTTAGATACCCCAATATCTTCTTTTTTCAGACACCTTGCTCAATAGCTGTGTGTCCCCTCAACTGAAGAGCTAGACACTTCTATCAGGAAGTTTCATTCATATACGATGGGTTAGGTTAATTACATTTTTTATCTCCTAAATGAATTTGGCCCTTACTGAAAATGAATTTGGTTTTTCCTTTTTTAGCACCATCACCCCTGTGGTGGGTAAAAAGAGAAAGCGTAATACTTCATCTGATAATTCAGATGTAGAAGTCATGCCTGCCCAGTCACCCCGGGAAGATGAAGAAAGCAGCATTCAGGTAAAAGGATCCCAAATGAACTTAGTAGATAAATCATGTTTAATTCTGGCAGACAAACCAGGAATAGATACGAGAGACTATGAGCCTATGGACATTTTAAGAATTTTTCTATAAGAGAGGTAGGCCTAAAAGGTAAAAGAGGTGGGGCCTGGTCATGGTCGTCTCTTTTAAATGTTGAGGTTTTTTTAGCTAAAAAGCAATTACTATACAAATAACAATACTCATTTCCAAAATTCTAGTGTTGCAAAAACTAAGCAAGTATGAAATAATGTGCATGGTTGTTGTTATGACTCTGTCAGTACTTTGGTTTCTCTTAGAACTGTCCATCTATCTATTTGCCTTACCTTTTCTACACTTCAGGGTTCTGACTCTCTGAACTGGGTGCTTAGACACAGTGTTTTTTCCTACCTTTTGAAGATGAGAAACATTGAAAGAAAATAAAAGAAGCTGGACCAGAAGCTGGACTAAACTTAGTCCTCTGTCTCTCATTGTTGCTTTACGGTACCACCTTTGGCTCTAGTTTCCAACCATACAAAGAACCTGGTATTAAGATTTGGGAGACCCATGGTTCTTCTAAGTAGCACTGTGGGCCTGGCAGATTTACTTAGCTTCTATGTCTGTGTCTGAATTTTTCCTTAGTGAATGAAGGTTTGGACTAAACGAACCTTAAGTGCTTCTCTAGCTGTTAATATTTATAAATGCGTACCTTCTTTCTTGATACACGTTCAGTACATTGGCTAACTGATACCTGGGTTTTTCTGGGGAAATTAACATGTGAGAATAGCCAAGAAATTATTGAAAAGAAAATTGAGGCAAAAATTAGCTTTAACAGACATTAGAGCATATTATGATATAATAATTACTAAGAGTTTGGAATCAGAGAAGAAATAACATTAATAAAGATAATAGAGGGGCACCTGGGTGGCTCAGTTGGTTAAGCTTTCCTGCTTCGGCTCAGGTGATCTCAGTGGTTGTTGAATTCGAGCCCTGCATCAGGCTCTGCACTCTCAGCACTGAGCGCGCTTCTGATTCTCTCTCTGCTCCTTGCTCGTGCACTCTCTCTATCTCTCTCTCTCTCTCCAAAATAAATAAATAAACATTTAAAATAAAGAGAATAGAGTCTAGAAATAGATTCAAATGGTTATGAGAATTTAGTATATGAATTTAAATGCCATTTTAAATCAGTGGAAAGAAAAAAAATATTAAATTATGTTAGAACAACTGGAAAAAAAATTAGGGAAAAAAAACTGGATTTCTTGTGTCATTCCTCAAATACTAGTTTAATCAAAGGTCCAAATGTAAAACTTGAAATCATGAACTTTTTATAAAACATGGATGGATTTTTAAAATAATTATCAAGTAAAGTAGATCTTTGTAAGGGGGCATTAAAATTCATAATTCATAAATGGAACATTTATTTGACTATATAAAAATTATACGTGTGTAACAAATAAGTCTACAAATAATGTAGTGGCTAAGAGCATAAACTCTGGAGCAAGAATTCCTCGATTCTCATCTTAACTCTACTAATATTGTCACTTCAGGCAAGTTTATTTAACCTCTTGGTGCCCCAATTTCCTTATTTCTAAAATGCAAGTAATAATGCCTACCAAGTAGAGTTATTAGGAGTATTAAATGTAAGCATTTATGAAGGACGGAGAACAGTGCTTAGATCACGGTAAGAGAGTATAGAAAGAGTTATGTATGTGTATGTTAAATAAAGGGCTAAATTAAAAAAGTAAAGGCAAATCATTGTAATACAAGAAATACAAAATTTTAAAGGTGGTGGATTAGTTTGCTAGGGTTGCCATGATAACATACCACAGACTGTGTGGCTTAAACAGTAGAAATTTATCCTCTCACGATTCTGAAGGCTTAGAAGTCCAAGATCAAGGGGTCGGCAAGTTTGGTTACCTTTTAAGACCTCTTTCCTTGGCTCGTAGATGGCTACTTTCTCACTGTGTTCTTACCTTGTCTTTTCTTAGTGCATAAATCCCTGGTGTCTTTCCATGTGTCCACATTTCCTCTTCTACGGATGTCAGTCGAGTTGAATTAGAGCCCACCCTGTCAGTCTCATTTTAACTTACTTCTCTAAAACTCTTGTCTCCAAATACAGTCACATTCTGAGGTGTACTAGGGATTAGGTTTTCAACATAAGAATTTTGGGGGATATAATTCAGCCCATTATAAATGGTAATGCCAGTGTTGGCAGTGGACTTAAGGAACAGCAAGCAGCTGATGGGAGTGTTGAAACAATCTTTTTGGTGAGTCAGTGTTGCAGTATGTAACAATTTGAAATGTCAATGCCTTTTGACTTGGTGATTCTGCATCTAGGAAACCCAAAAGTATGTAATTATGTGTATCATAGCAATATTTGCAATAGCAGAAATGTCCAAAAATTCACTGTCTGTGGTGGAGAAATAGTTAATAAAATTCTGAAAATCCATGCACTAGAACACTACATGGCAGGGAGCCTGGGTGGCTCAGTCAGTTGAGCATCCGACTCTTGGTTTCGGCTCAGGTCATCATCTCGCAATTTCATGATATTGAGCCCCGTGTTGAGCCCACGCTGTGCGCTGCCCACATGGAACCTGCTTGGGATTCTCTGCCCCTCCCTCACTCAGGCTGTCTCTGTCTCTCTCTCTCAAAAAAAAAGGAATACTACCTGGCAATTAAAAACAATGAAATAGAGGGGCGACTGGCTGGCTCAGTCAGTAGAGCATGTGACTCTTGATCTTGGGGTCTTGAGTTCAAGACCCACTTTGGATGTAGAGATTACTAAAAAGAAAGAAAGATAAATAAAGCATTAAAAAAATAAAGGGGCACATGGGTGGTTCAGTCAGTTAAGCGTCTGACTCTTCATTTCAGCTCAGGTCGTGATCCCAGGATTGTTAGATTGAGCCCTGTGTCGGGCTCCATGCTGAGCATAGAGCCTGTTTGGGATTCTCTCTCTCCTTCTCTTTCTGCCCCTCCACTGCTTGTGCGTGCACTTGGCTTCTCTCTCTTAAGATAAAATAAATATTTAAAAATAAGATAAAAACAATGAAGTAGAGTAGGTGTGCTTATCGTGGAAAACTCTCCATATTAAATGAAAAAAAAATCTAGGTGTAGAATAATATATATACTCTCTCTTTAATAACATTTAAAGAGTATGTGTGTGTGTGTGTATGTGTGTGTATACAAATAATACATGTTTATACATCCATTTTTTTTTTTCCTGGAAGGATGCACAAATATTTTTAGGAGAATGTTGAAGAGTAGGTGGGTCATGATTACCGTGCTCTCATTTTTGTACGTTGGAACTTTTAAACCTCATGACCATTTGCCATTTTGTTTTTTAGGTTAAAAAAATATATATGTGAGAAAAATTACAGTAGGGCACAGAAGTAGACACTATGAATATCTCCCAGTCTAGACCCCAGCCTCACAGTCCCCCACTTCTCTTCCCCAGAGGTAACCTCTGTTACCAATATTTTGTGTATCCTTCCAGAAATATTCTTTACTTTCATGAACGTTACTTCCACTAATAGGGAATATTGTATTTATATGTACTTTTCTATACAGTCTTTATTTTCTCCAACAATATATCTTGGAGATTATTCTTCATCAGGAAAGATCAATCTAGCCCACCTTCTTTGTATTATGAAAATTTGAAATGTACACCAGAGTAGAGAGGTAATTTAATGAAGTCCTGTGTTCCACCACCCCAAAAATTCTCTTGTACTCACTTCAGTTAGGCTACCCTCTTCCCATAGGCAACCGTTGTTCTGATTTCTCTTTACCATAGATTAAACTTAACCTATTCTTGAACTTCATGTAAACAGAATGACATAGTATGATTCCATTCTTTCAGCATAATGTTTATCCATTCTTCTATTGATGGGCATTTGGGTTGTTTCTGTTTGGACCTGTTGTGAATAAGGCTGCAGTGAACAGTCTTAGTCATACTTTGTGGACACAGGTTTTCATTTTTCATAGCTAAATCTAAGGAATAGCATTGATAGACCAGAGGGTAGTTATACATATAAACGTATAACTTTGTAAGAATCTGTCAACTTTTTTTAGTATTATTTTATTTTACATTTATTTTTGAGAGACAGAGAGAGTGTGAGTGGGGGAGGGGCAGAGAGAGAAGGAGACACAGAATCCAAAGCAGGCTCCAGGCTCAGAGCAAGCTGTCAGCACAGAGCCCAACACAGGAGAGAGAAAATCCCAAGCAGGCTCAGCACTATAGGGCTCGAACCTATGAACCATGAGATCATGACCTGAGCTGAAGTCAGACCCTTAACTGACAGAGCCACCCAGGCGCCCCAAACGTCTGCCAACTTCTAAAGTGATTGTGTCATTTTACATTTTCACCACTAATGAGAGTTCCAGTTACACATCTTCAGTATTTGGTGTTGTCAACTACCCCATTTTTTTTCCTTTTTTTCTTTAAAACAGAGAATGGGTGCAGTGTGAGAGTGGGGAGGGGCAGAGGGAGAGAGAGAATCTTAAGCAGGCTCCATGCTCAGTGCAAAGCCCAACATGGGACTTGATCCCACAACCCTGGGATCATGACCTGACCTGAAATCAAGAGTAGGACACTCAACTGACTGAGCCACCCAGGCGCCCCTACCCCATTCTTTTTCTTTTTCTTTTTCTTTTTCTTTTTCTTTTTCTTTTTCTTTTTCTTTTTCTTTTTCTTTTTTTTTTCTTTTTTTTATTTTAAAACATATTTATTTTGAGAGAGAGAGAGAAAATGTGCACATATGCATGTACGATTGTGTGAGCAGGGGAGATTTTTAAACATTTTATCTGGAGAGAAAGAGAGTGTGTGTGTGCTTGTGCGTGGGGGAGGGGCAAAGAGAGAGAGAGGAAGAGAGAATCCCAAGCAGGCTCTACGCTGTTGGCGCAGAGCCCAGTGCGGGGCTTGATCCCAGGAACTTCAAGATCATGACCTAAGCTGAAATCAAGAGTCAGACACTTAACCAACTGAGCCCATTCTTTTTAAATAGTTCTATAACAGTGGCGTCTAGGTGGCTCCGTCGATCTTGGATTTTGGCTCAGATCATGATCTCACGGTTTGTGAGTTCGAGCCCTATAGTGAGTGCTGAGCCTGCTTGGGATTTTCTCTCTCCTCCTCTTTCTGCCCCTCCCCTCCCACCCTCAAAAAAAAAAAAAAAAAAAAAAAAGAAAGAAAAAAACCTTAAAAACAGTAAATAATTGTGTAGCATTCCAGTTTGACTGTACTGTAATTTGTTTAACCAGTCCCCTATTGATGAGCATTTAGGTTTTCTCTGCTCTTCTACTACCACAAATAATGCTACAAAGATTTGTATACATGTTCAGATTTATTTGTAGGCTAATACCTTTGAAGTGGAATTGCTGGACCAAAAGGTAGTTTCAGATTTTCTTTTATAGAGGTTATGTCCATGTGCATTCTCACCGAGTTCCTCTTTCAATATTTGATCAGACTTTCTGATTTTTGCCAGTCTGTTAGGTGAAAAAAAAAAAAGTATCTCCGTTTAGTTTTCAGTTGTAATTGTTTTATTATTATGAGTGTGAGCATCTTTTTACATTTAAGACCTTTTTTTTCCACTGTATCCATGTTATTTGCCTATCTTTCTGTTGTGTTATGGATCTTTTCTTAGTTACTCAAAAGAACTCTGCTTAGGATATGTATCATGTGATGTTTTCCTCCTCAATTCATTATTTGTCTCAGCTTTGTTACGATATTATATAAATATCTTAAATTTTGCAAGGTCAAATTGATCAATTTATTAGAAACACCTTCCCTACTACAGGATTATTAAAAAATTCTTCTTCATTTTCTTTCAGAAATGTTACGTCTTTTCTGGGGTGCCTGGGTGGTTCTGTCATTTCAGCATCCAACTCTTGATCTCAGCTCAGGTCTTGATCTCAGGGTCGTGAGTTCAAGTCCCATGTGGCGGGGGTGGGGGAGGAAGCTTGAACTTAAAGAGAAAAAGAAATGTTATATCTTTTCTTTATAAGATTTTTAAGATCTTTTAAATCTTTTATCTTTATGTAATTTAGTTTCACCCTCTAGATGGATGGCCATTTGTTTCCATTCCCATTTATAGAATAATCTACTTTTTCCTCACTCATTAGAGGTGCTATTTTTATTATGTTCTAAATCCACAAAAGTATTTTAGTCTATATTTGGACATTATTTCATTGACCTGTTTGTCTTGGAGAGGTACCAACCTTTGTTAATTAGTATAGCTCTGTATTGTCCTTAAAATCTGGTAAGGCCAAGCACACTTTTTAAATTTTTTCTGGTTATTCTTAGATGTCTTTTTCTTTCTTTGAATTTTGGGATCAGCTTATCTAATTAAGAAGTTTTATTTTGTCCAATTTATGTAATTAGAATTGATTCTTCTTATTCCAGAACAATGTATTTTACTATTTATTCAAGTCTTTTTTAAGTCCTCTGGGAGTGTTTTAAAGTTTTTTACATATAGATTTTATATATTTCTTACTAAATTTAATTGTTTAGATAAATAATCTTTTTGTTTTCATATATAGCATATTTTCTTTTATATATTTTATGGCTCAGTCTATATAAGAATGATATTGATTTTTTAAAATTGGTGTTATCCCAGGGAAGTTTGCTCAATATCAGTAGTTTGACATCTGATAATTAATTTAATTCTTCTGGGTTTTTCAGGGGTATAGTCATGATTGAAAAATAATAATTTTATCTCTCCATCCTTCCAGTTTTTTATCATGAGCTATAAAGTATTACTTAAAAAATGTTTTGCTCAGCCACTTGAAAGAGTAAGGTAAATCTAAATGTATCGATACAGAAAACATCTTTAAGAAATATTATTAACAGAAAAGTGGCAGAACAATACTATAATCATCACATGGTATGATTCTATTTATTAAAACAAAAAAACCTAGAATGAAAAGAAACAAAAACTAGAAACAAAACATTCTTGCACCTTTGCACTTTAGGTTTGCTCCTTGTGGAAAGTACATTGTACCTTGTAGGTTGAGTCCTGTTGCAGTTTATTAGAGCTTCTTGCCAGTAGTACCCAGGTTACTTTCAGGTGGATTCTTGTTCTTTGATTTAAAAAAAAAATTCAGGGGCACCTGGTGGCTTGGTCAGTTAAGCGCCTGACTTTGGCCTAGGTCATGATCTCGTGATTCGTGAGTTCGATCCCCACAACTGGCTCGGTACTGACAGCTCGGAGCCTGAAGCCTGCTTCCAGATTCTGTGTCTCACTCTGTCTCTGCCCTTCCCCTTCCCCTGCTCCTGCTCTGTCTCTCTCTGTCTCTCAAAAATAAATAAATGTTAAAAAAAAAAAAAAATTCAGCAAATGAATAGGAATTTGGTACATAAAATAAATTACGTGATTTGACATCACATAAGTTGGTAAATAAGCTCTTTATCTTTTGGTTTGATTTTTCATAGGGATTTTAGAGTAAAGTCTAAGTATATGACTAAAGGCAAATAGTTTTTTAAAGGTTTTCTCTTTGAGAGATCTATACAGTTATTTTAACCATTCTTGCCTCTACAGAAGAGACGCTCAAACCGCCAAGTTAAGCGAAAAAAATACACAGAGGATCTGGATATAAAGATCACAGATGATGAAGAAGAAGAAGAAGTGGATGTAACTGGTCCAATAAAAACTGAGCCTATCCTCCCTGAACCAGTGCAGGAACCAGATGGCGAGACTTTGCCTTCCATGCAGTTCTTTGTGGTAAGCTGAGAACTTAAGCAATATGAGAGGTTGTCCTGCTCCTCAGAGTCTCTGTTGACTGACTGCATCTTTTGCTACAGGAGAATCCCAGTGAAGAAGATGCAGCCATAGTAGACAAAGTGCTTTCCATGCGGATTGTGAAGAAGGAGGTGAGGCCTTAACCTTTAATGTCAGCTCATAATGCTACATTCACAGACTTTATTTAATGAGCACCTTTGGATGTCAGGATAAATTACTGCAGTGTAATTATGAAATATGGTGGGGGTAAATTAGCTAGAAAATAGGAACTGTTTTTTTTGCCTCCTCTTTTGCTTACCTGTTTAAAATGGATGAAGGCTTATTTTTTCCAACTATGAGACCTCTTATATTGAAGTACCAGATTAGTTCTTTAATCCCTCAGTCAGTAATATACTTGGGGCATTGGTATGAAGCTCTACTAGAAGTAGTGGAATTTAAGGGTTATTTCTTTGACAAATAAAGTATTAATAACTATAATGTTTTTCTTCTCAGCTTCCTTCTGGACAATATACTGAAGCAGAAGAATTCTTTGTCAAGTACAAGAACTAGTATGTGATCCGTGCAAAAAGCTTTTCACCCTAATCTCCACAGGGTTGTAAAAAGTTCTCCTGTATAGTCTTTCCTGGGTGGGAATATGTCCCCTTTTTGTAGTCTCCTAGCCTAAATTGTTTTCATTGAGTAAAATGAAATCTCTTCTATTCAGAGAGAAATTCAGGAATTGTCATGAATCTTACTATTACTGGCAGGAAGGTAGGATAAAGGTGATTCCTGATAAAATCTTTTGTGATCCTCTATACCTTAGTCTGACACTAAGACCTTGCTGCTCAGACTATGGTCCATGGACCAAAAGAATTAGCCTCATTTGGGTGCTTGTTAGAAATGTGTACTTTCAAGCCTGCCCCAGACCAGGTATTTGTGTGCAAAATCAAGTTTAAGAAGCACTAACCTAAGAGACTATCTCCCACTTAAACATGTTGTACTCATTGTGCCTGCCTCTGGCTAATCCCCAAACCTAGCCAACCACCTCTCCTTTCTCACACCATGACTGGCTGTTTCCATCCCCTTCAGCTCCTATCTGCACTGTGAATGGGCTACCATCTCCCAACTAGAGAAGGATAAGAGAATCCATCAAAAACTAAAGCGCTTCAAAACCAAAATGGCTCAGATGAGACACTTCTTCCATGAGGTAATAAGGAATAGGTATTACCTATCATTTATTTCATAGAAGCATAAATTACTGGAGTCAGCAGTCTTGACTGATTCTTCAAGGTTTATAGTTGCTTTGTGTACGTGGGTATGAAGTCTTAATTTTGATCATTGAACCTTCCTTACTTTATAGCCCCATGCTTTGTTTACCAGGTCTAAATACAGTCTTTGTAAGTTACTAGAATATTTTAATTTTGACTTGTTCAGTATCCATGGAGTATTTTCAAGATGGGTGATAAACTGACCTACAGTCTATTTGAGGCACTCCTAATGTCAGTCTGTGGCAGCCAATGGTATCTGTAGGCATAAGCAAACATGTCGTTAAGAGAGAACACTTATTTTCTATAATTTCTAATCCAGTATATCAAGAAATCGTGATAAAGGAGCTCTAATTTCCCATAGCCATTCTTACTACTGGTTAAACACTGGAGCATTCATAAGGGTCTCTTGAGCCATATTTTAACTCTCTACTTTCCTTTGAAAGCTTTGTGTACACATCCCATTGCCAAACTGCAATTTTTCATCTTTATTATACATAGGGTACTAAGTGCCTTGAGAAGACCAATTCCTTTTCAAAGCTTCTTAGAGCTAAAGGGGAAAGGATCCAGTAGGAAAGGTTGAGGGAAGGAATAATGCAGAGTTTCAGCAGAAAAAGTTCTGCCTGAATACATCTGGTAAAGCTAATTTTATACTACCAGGTTTGCCAGTAAAAGAGTTATTTCTCACATCACCTAGAGACGGCAAGTAGGACCATTTAGGTTTTATAATTTCTTTTTATATGAAAATAATTGGGTTGTGTTTTTTGTCTTTTTCTTTTTTTATGTTTATTTTTTTATTTTGAGAGTGAGAGGGAGCAGGGGAGGGGCAGAGAGAGTGACAGAGAATCCTATGCAAGCTCCGCACCGTCAGTGCAAAGCCCGATGCAGGGCTCAAACTCACAAACCTTGAGATCATGACCTGATCCAAAATCAAGAGTCAGACACTTAACTAACTTAGCCACCCAGGCGTTCCTTCATCTTTGTTCTTTTAATGCCTAATTTGTGAAATGTACGATGAAATTGCAATGCCATTCCAGCTGGTATTAATGTACAATTTGTGATTGTTGAACCAACTCTATGAACTCATATGCCAATTAAATCTCCATATGTAGGTAGGCTATTTAACCAAATCAGTCATTCATTTATTCATCATTTATTATGTGCCAGTCTCTATGGAGAACAAACCAGACATGGTTTGTGTTCTCATCCACCTCACTGTCTAATTGGGAGAGACAGAGAGTAAAAAATAATTCAAATCATGATAAGTGCCAAAAAAGAGCACAAGGAGACGTAACGGGTGGGAAAACGCCTACTTTGGATAATTAGGGAAGACTTCTCTGAGAATTCAGTTGTGAATAGGAGCAAGGACATGAACCCATGTAAATAGTATTGCTGGCATGGGAAACAGCATATGTGAAAGCCCTGAGACAAGCTGAGGAACTAAAAGGACAGTGGAGTTGATGAACAAAAGAGAATGGCCCAAAATGAAATCAGAAATTTAGGCAAGCAGGTGCTTACAGATCTTCTAAGCAGTTTGGTTTTAGTTTTGTTTACAAATGAAAATGATTAAATCATTTAAAGCAGGTCAAAGACATAATGCAATGTTCACTTTTATTTGTTTTTGAGAGAGAACACAAGCAGGGAAGGGACAGAGAGAGAGAGAGGGAAACACAGAATCCAAAGCAGGCTCCAAGCTCTGAGCTGTCAGCATAGAGCCTGATACGGGGCTTGAACTCACGAACCAGGAGATCGTGACCTGAGCCGAAGTCCGACGCTTAACCGACTGAGCCACCCAGTTGCCCCCCAGTTTTCACTTTTACACAATCACTTACAACTTTGGAGAATGGATTGAAGAGAGTACAGTAAACAGTATGGAAGCAGTTGAAGTTTTCTAGATAGGAAGTATCACAGCTTGGAATAGTGTGGTTTCACATGGAGAGAATGGATAGATTAGAATTGACAGGGCTTGGTGTGATGGCAGGTTTGTGGTGTGAGCAAATGGGTTGAGGTGGGATCATTTATTGAATTATGGAAGATTTTAGAAGCAGCCAATTTGGGAGAAATCAATTAGTTTAGATTATGTTAACCTTAAAATTCCTTAACACATCTATAGTTAAGCAGAAAGATATTCAGATCTGAATTTTTTTAGGCTGCAATTAAAATTTTGAGTTTATCAGCATATGAATAGTTATTAAAACCTTAATGATGATTAAAGTTCCCTCAGGGCAGGGAGGATTTCTGTACATAGTTCTGTATTTTCTTATAGAAAGTTCCTTCTCTAATAGAATGGGTGTGAGCTCAGAGCCAATGCTTAAAGAATTCCCCAAAATTTACTTATTTGTTTAAAAAAAATTTTTTTTAATGTTTATTATTTTTGAGAGAGAGAGACAGAGGGCAAGCAGGGAAGGGGCAGAGAGAGAGGGAGACACAGAATTGGAAGCAGACTCCAAGCTGTGAGCTGTCTACACAGAGTCTGATGTGGGGTTCGAACTCAGACCACGGGATCATGACCTGAGCTGTAGTCAGTCGCCCAACTGACTGAGCCACCCAGGCGCCCCTTATTTGTTTGTTTTTAGAGAATTCTCCCAAATTTCAAGGTCTGGGTGAAGGAGAAGGAATTGTATGCCAGAGTTACAGGAGAAAGATTAGGAAAAGATATGTCACAAGAAGCGCTGGCCACAAGTGTCTGAAGAAAGAAGAGTTTTTTCCTTAAAGTTTCTTTGAGATCTTTGGAGCCGTGGGTTATATGTTTTCATATACCATCCAGAGTCGGATGCCAGTGACTTAGAAGAAGAAGAACCAAAGTGATTGAAAATTGGCCAAAACAAAAACCAGAACCAAAATAAAGGGCGGGTGGGGGGGGGGGGGTGCTACTGATGAGACTATGGTGTCTCAGCAAATCCCAGGGAAGGGAGTGCTTAATGGAGAGAATTAGGAATTGTGGAATGCTTTTCAGAGGTAAAGCGAACTGGGGACAAAACTATTTCATTATATTGGCAATTTGGAGATCATTAATGACCTTGACAAAAGTAAGTAGTTTAGTTGTGTGAGGAAAGTGGATGGAAGAGTGGAATGGATGGGCAGGGAAGGTGATGACATGGAGATACCTTGTGTTTAAACCAGTTGGGAAAATTTGGCTATGAAGCAGAACAGAAAAATCATTACAGGCAGATGAAGAGTTAGGAGGTCTTTTTAAGATGTGCCTTAATAGAGAATATCCATGTGTTTGTGGGAATGATCCAGTAGAGAGGGATTAAGAAGGTGAGAAGGGATGGAATCCAGACCACACATGGAGAGAATGGCCACTCTTAGGAGACTTGCTCTGGTAATAGGTGAGAGGATAGGTGCAGGCTCAGGTAAGTTTTTAGAATTTGATACTGTGAAATTTGGGATCTCCCTTCTGAAGACTTCTTTTAAAAAAACAAGGTTTTTTTTGAAATAGGATCATCAAAGTAAAGGTGGGGTGGAAGGTTGGGTCTATTGGACAATGATCTTTTGGTCTTACTATTTGTTTGGTAACTCCTTTAGGATGAAGAGCCCTTCAATCCTGACTATGTAGAGGTGGATAGGATATTGGATGAGTCTCACAGCATTGACAAAGACAATGGGGAGGTAAGTTGGGGCATGGAAGAACATGAAAGGTCTTAGATTTCTGCTGGTCTGCTTGCCCATCTTTTATTTTTCAGATATGGCTAAAAAAATCCCGGGGACAAAGAGGTATTTTTGAGTTTTTCTGAGGGCTCTTTAGAATGAAATTGGGAAGATTAAGGGAGTAGGGAGAGAGGCTAAAAGGAAAGCTTTCCATAAAATCAAACATTTGAGAGCTATATTTATAAGTACCAAGAGCTGTATGAACAAGTACTCATTCACCTTGATCTCATTTTCTCTCAGATTTTATATGGGAGACCCCTGACATTCAGTTGAGGGTGAGAGAAGGGGAGAGCAGTAGAGATAATTCACAAATCTTTGTAGTTATGAATGTAAAAATACCTGTACAGACTCTTAGCTTTCTTCATGTTGTTGAGAATTACTAAGTTTTTAAAAATGTTTTAATGTTTTTATTTATTTTTGAAGGAGAGCGAGAGTATGAGCAGGGGAAGAGCAGAGAGAGAGAGAGGGAGACACAATTCAAAGCAGGCTCCAGGCTCTGAGCTGTCAGCACAGAGCCCAATGCAGGACTCAAACTCACAAAATGTGAGATCATGACCTGAGCAGAAGTCAGACGCTTAACCAGCTGAGCCACCCAGTTGCCCCAGAGAATTACTGATTTTTTAAAACGTTTATTTATTTATTTTGAGTGGGTGTGTGTGAGCAGGGGAAGGGCAGAAAGAAAGGGAGAGGGAGAGAATCCCAAGCAGGCTCCATTCTGGGAGCGCAGAGCCCCACACAGGGCTCTTTGTCCCATGAGCCAGCTGCGAGGGCTCAACATGGGGCTCAATATTACAAAACCGCGAGATCATGACCTGAGCCCAAATCAAGAGTCAGACACTTAACGGAGTCACCCAGACGCCCCAGAGAATTACTTATTTGGTGAACTTACCATCAATTAATGCGTTTTGATTTATCATTAAAATTGGTTTGAATCTGTACTGTTTTTTTAATGTTTACTTTTGAGAGAGAGAGAGCCGCAGGGGAGAGGCAGAGAGAGAGGGGAACAGAGGATCTGAAGCAGGCTCCACACTGACAGAGAACCCAGTGTGGGGCTCCAGCCTATGAACCATGAGATCATGACCTGAGCCAAAGTTGGACACTCAACCAGGTGCCCCTGAATCTATACTTTTAAACAGAATGTGGGATTCCCTTCCCACAGATTCAGATTCAGTAGGTCTAGGGTGGGACCCAGAGATCTGTATTTTTAAGTTGGTTCTCCAAGGGATTCTCAGGCATAGCTTCATTGGGAATCAGAGCATTAAAGCTCTGTTAGCAGATTTTACACATGCTAAAACACTTGCTAATACAGATTCATAAATTACTTTTTTCATTTTCCAAGGAAGAATTGTAAAGATCTAAGCCACCAGTGAATTGAACATCCTCTCTTAATTTTTTTGAAACTTACTTAGACTGTGAACAACCATTCCCTTAGAACTTAATGCTTTCTTTGCACTTTAAGTAGCAGTTGTTGGTTTGCTTTGTACGGCCATATTTCATAAAGTTTTTATCACGTCTGACAGTTACTGCTTACCCAGTGACGAGTACAGAACCACAGAACCTTGTTAAAATGCCAGTGCCAGGTGGTGAGCTGGGCCCACTCACAAGTTAAGTGACATGTTTCCATACACCACCCTTACAGGACCTAAAAATTAAAGTCTTCCCTCTGTAAAATTCCAAGTTTATTGTATAAGCCTTTAGAGTCACTCAAAACCTTAGACGTCCAAGACCTATTACAGTTCACTATGTCTTCATATCCTAATAGGCATCCTCAGATAACATAGTCTGCTTTTGGGGGTAGGAGTGGGAGTTACTGTTTGTTGTTCATTTGTGGGAGGTGAGTGGGAAACCAACCCAACTATTAGAAAGGACAGGTTAGCTGCTATTAAATTCTTCTCATCATTTTCAGGATCTCAGTCTTCTTAGCCTTGAAAATCTTGTGCTCTCTATCAACATACTTAACTCTTCCAGAAGTAATTGGTCTTTGGTCCCTTTGGACTGTGTTGGAAATGGCAAGACAGAAGAAAATGTTTTAGTTCCCTGGTAAAACTTTTGCTGCCAGTATTGGATATCATCCTATATACCCATTTCCCTCCATCCCCAAAATAAGTTTACTTTGTCATCCTCTGTACATTACCTAATAGTGGAAATAAGTATTATAAATAATAAAGTATTTGGAACAGTAAATTATGATGCTGGAAATGTGTGACCTGGACAAATGGCTTTATGTAGGTGACCTGAGTCACTATAATAAAGAAAAGGAGCAACTAAATTAATTCTGGGGATCCCATGATCTGTGACTCTGTTGAGGTACTTAGATATAATCTTCAAACTTCTTGCTGTTTTGAGGGGTATTCTGTGAATTGATCATAGAGATTACTGTTGATTACACTAGGCCCAATATAAAGTTTTTTGTTTGTTTTGGTTTTTGTTGAGAGAGAGAGAGGGAGGGAGGGAGGGAATCCCAAGCAAGCTCTCTGCCAACAGTGCAGAACCCGATGTAGGGCTCAAACTCATGTACCAGATCATGACCTGAGCTGAACTTGGATGCTTAACCGACTGAGCCACCCAGGCGTCCCAGCACTAGGCCCAATCGAATTCTTGTTTCATATAAGCCAGAAATGGAAAAGCAGTCAGTGCAAAGATCATCTTGAGTAGTGAGAAGAGGAGCCATTTTACCATAGGTCACTGCCCATCCTTTGCAGTAGAACACCTACATAGAGCACAGTACTGTAGGTGGAGCTTCAGCATTTGCCCTTCCTCTTCTCTCTTCTTACCTGTCCTCAGTGATAGCTCTTCTAGTTCTCTCCTAGCTCACAAGGGAATCTCTTTACCACCATATGACTACTCTTTGACGTAGCATCTGCACTCAGAGCTACAGAAGCTCCGAAGCCCAGTGATTTCAGCCCTGCTTTTCTCTTACGGGTTTAATATGTTCCTTGCTTAGAAAAGTAGCTTAGCTTCCACTCTTCCACTGTATTAAATTTGGTCCCAGGACACTAGTATGGAGCCAGAGGTCTATCTTTTAATTTCAACCTAAGTCAACATAATACAGGGGAGA